TGTAGTTAATCATTTAACCAAACTTATCAAAGGCTGGTGAATAATAATAGAGTTCAAATAGAAATTATTTCATACTTTTCACTGCATTTTTCCATACTTTTAAGCAATTATATCTAGAGCTAGTGCGTATTCATATAAATTGACTAGAAATTATTTCATACTTTTCACTGCACCTTTTTCGAAGTCGGTTAAATTTTTTTTCCAAAAAATTATTTTATTTCACTTTTTTTAGTGGCAATCTATAACCAATAGGTTTCGTGCAATAACAATAGTTATGAGCAATATGCAGGATGACCCAAAAACGTTGGAAATCCTTGAAAGGGATGGTTCCGCGGCGGGTGGGGTGGTGATTTGAAACAATTTTTCCTTAGCGAAAATGGTGTTCGAGGCTTCGTTAAGAGGATATTCCAGAAATAGAAACTCGCGCTCTGATTGGTGGGGGGTTTCTGTCAATATCTCCTTAACGAAGCCTCGAACAACATTTTTGCTATGAAAAAATTGTTTCATAATACCCCCCGAAACACTCCATTTAAGGACATCAAACATTTTTGGGACACCCTGTATAGTTGCAAATGAGATTATCAGAAATGCTGGAAGGTTATACAAATATGGAATTAATCGGGATCGGAATCGGAATTAATTAATGAATCAAGAAAAAAAAATAAGAATTTTGCAATAACAATAGTTATAAACAATATGAAAAATTCATAAATTTTTGGAAATGTGATCATCGCGAAAACCTGTACGGCAGCAAAATGTAAGGGATTTCATCGATTTCAGGCCAAACATACGTGAAATAGTACGCTTTTTGCGATAAAAAGTGATATAAAGTGGTAAAAAACAAAATAAGGACAAATGTTTTGTTATGAGACCAAATGGCAAATGCTCTTTCAGATGCAAGAAGTTTCAATCTGATTGGTCCATCCGCCTCGGAGTAAGAAGCAAGACAATATTTTTCTGTTTTTTAAAAAAAAACGGCTAAAAAATGTCAAATCACAAAATGTATCTTTTACGCGACCAACTGGAAGAAATATTCGACAAGATGCAACAGGTTTCATTCTGATTGGTCAAGCCATCTCGGCGTAATCGGTAAACATACTTAAAAAAAAAAATCGAATTGAGTAATCTCCTCCTTTTCGAAGTCGGTTAAAAATCTGAAGACAGACAGTAGAGCAGTGCGTAGTGTAGCCTACTACCACGCTTGAGAGAACCTGGGTTCGAATCCTGGGCGGTTCGCCCTGGTTTTTCATGGTTGGGTTAGGCCCGGCTAAAAAATATAAACAATAGTAAATAAAGGGACCGGAATATTCAGTAGCTCTCCAAGCTCAGCACTTTAAACGCAACAAAACAAAACAAATAAAATCTGAACAGTGCAATCGCGCTGCTTGAGACTCAAACGGTTAATGAGCGGTGCCTGTCTAGATGCCCCCATTGTGAATTCTAGAAAATTACCTTCGATGACTGCAACCGATCGTTTTAATGATTAGCAGTGCCACCCGCATGTGTATACCAGAGTTTTCGATGGCGATCGCTATCACCATACTGCCGATGAACATCATCGTGGTATCGTTCATGTAGCAAGCGCAAGTATCGCTCGTGGTCATTATACCCATCAGCGGATAAAGAAAAACGGGAATCAGACCTGTGATTGGTAAGGGAAGCACTTCGGTCATCCAGAACAATGCCATCAAACCAATCACATATAGACACCGCATCGCTATCACCTGCGTCGAATTAAGAAATTTTCTTTTTCTACTTTGTCTTGCTCTTTTTGCAGCGTGAAAAAAAACAAACGACACAAAATAGAGGGGATAGGAGGTAATCGGGATCACGAGCAGTTATTCGGGATACATTGTATACTAAATAAATTAATTATCGTGTATTTCAAATTGGAAATGGGAGACACTGAATAACTGGACAAGAAATACTAAACAGTATTTATTATTAAGGGCTCATTCCGGTATGGTACCTTCACAAAATCGATTTTTTTTTTAAATTTTTTATGTTTGAATATGTATTGTGAAATTATGGTATAGAAATTTCAAGTATTTTAGCTTTTGTGATTATTTTAAAACTGCTGGAAACTTTCAACATTTTTTTTCAAAATGAAACATTTTCTCTGCTGGTGCATGTAAAAATCTCAAATACTAGTCAGTTCTGCATGACTCTGAAATTTTAACACGTGATTCTACATACTAATGAACCTGGTCGAGATCAGATTATGTTTTTATGTTGAGTTTATCATGTACTTTTAATATATGTTATAATGGAAAAATTGCTCAAAAGACATTCGCAATTTCGATATTCTTCTGGTCTCTACTATAGCAATACTAATACTAATAAAGAACAGATTTCATATTTTCGTTTCGGACTATTTATGAAATCAAATTTCCTCCAAGACATTATTCTTGAAACATAGTATTTGTACAAGCAAACAAACAATAAAAAAATGTTAGGTGTATAAATTAATTCTGTGCTTTTCAATGATTTATAACCCTAGTTTAAACAGATATACTTACTCGTCATTTTGGTATATTGAAGTACCAACCTTCTAAGTCCTCAAACTGATCCATACGCATCCATACATATCCATATACGTAACTTAAATTACGGCTACTACAATATCGCACTGCATCTATACGAACTTGAGTAGTTACGAAATTTTGCTTATTATTATACTCTTGCGATTATTATAAATATTAAGAACACTTATAAACTATTAGAAAAATAACAATAAGCAAAATTTCTCGGCTAATTAACTTCGAACATGTAGATACTAGAGCGGTTCTTAAAAGGGTGTCTTTCGAATTTCGATGCTCCCAGGGTCTTAAATGCTTCGAAGTAACGAAAGACAAATTCCCTAAAAACTTCAGGTCTCTATCTTAATTCTTAGTACCGCTGTACATGGATCGAATTATCCCACTTAAAATATATAGGAAAGAAAACTCTTTATTAAAGTTATAAGCCGGCAACGTTGAAATGATAAGAATTTGTCGATTTTTCTTTAATTTTCAATGTGTTTTCTAAATTCTTCCAATTTCAACTTTACCAGTTTATAACTTTATGCTGATTAGACTTACTAGATTTTTTCAAGAATCCTTATTTAAAGAGTATTCGATTTCCTATAAGAATATACCATCTTACAATGTGTCGTACGACGCGTCGTACAACGGATCGTACTCTCGTACGGAAACCCCCCACACGATCGAAGGGTCTGTCGAAGCGATTGGTCGTACGACATGTTGTAAAACAGATCGTATCATATATGGGGCATTTTACGTTTGTACGTATAGATTCCTTACAGATGATTTCATGGAGATGAGGACTTCTAAGATTGTTATTTTAAAGTAAGAAAATTGTAAATAAGTATTTCTACTTAAACTAGAGTTATAAATGATTGGATCTAAAGTCAAAAAATTAAATTCCACATCTAATATTTATATTACCATTCCAGAAAAATAATGTTACATAATCTGTAAGTAAATTAATAAACCACGAACAAGTTCTACATCATTGAATATCGTGTTTAGTCAAAAAATAACATAAATATTGTCCGATTTTTGGATTGTAACATCGATATGCCACCTTAACACTTAAAACTACGTAAAAAGGTAAAGAGGTGAATGGCACGAGATTCTTGCCATAATGAAAAGAAAAGGAAAAGAATACGCAACTTCAAATACACGACACTAACGTAAAGAACCGCGCAAAACTAAGAAAGGGAGAATTGTAAGGATAATGATAGCCAGAGAAGAGATTACGCTGGTGTATCGACGAACCTCGGTAGTCTCGAAGACGATGACAGGCAACAGGATCAGTGGCCATATCACAATCAGTATCGACTTCCAGTAAATCGAGAGAAACCTGGCCAACAGAATGGGGAAACTAGTGGTTTTCCTGAAACAATTGACACTAAAAGTCACTACGCCGCACAGTGTTCTGGAAAGCGGTATTTTGTGGCCAAACACCAATTTTCAATTTGAATATGTGAACAAATTTTTATTTTCAACGCAAAGAGAACCCTTGAAAGCTTCAAAATTTAAAGATATTATGTCTTTCAAATAATTCTGTGATCGGAAATAACGTTTTTTTAGAGAAAACCACGAAATTCGATGTGAAACTAATTGTTTTAATTATTTGTTATAGAACGTTAAAATACAACTTTGCTTTACATTCTTATACATGCGAGTAGGTGTCTTTTCATTATGTAAAAGTGAACTAAGTATTATTTAATCCATATAAAAACAGTAGAAAGTTTATAACTTGACTGCGGATTTTTATGCATTTATAGAGAATTTGAATGTGCAAGAAACTACAAAATGCACACAGTATGCAAGAATATAAAAAATATTGAGAGTAAAGTTCATATTGTAATATTTGCAGAGTAAAATAAATTCCTATTTAGGTTCAATTTTTGTAAGTGCGTTTACCAAGATGTTATTTTGCATAAAGATCTGCAGTCTATTTATAACAATTTAAATTTGAATTTAAACTTTGGTTCATGGTGGAAGAGATATTCTTAAAAATAATTTTTTCTTTAATTCCTCATTACGGTGTTATAGAATGTTAAAATCTATTAAATTTTGTATTTAAAATTTGTTTAATATCTCTTGTGGTTTCAGAGATATTAGCAAAAATATGAATAACCAGAATTATTTCGAAGGGGTGTTTCCAACCCTTAAAATCGTGTTGAGACCAAAATGGAAAAGGGCTCTGTGATTAGGTCCCCATGAACTTTATCTCTGCAAACATTCAAATTTTTTGTCAATTGCTCAACTTCCCTTATTAATTACAAAGGAATAGTAAACAACAGAGACTTAATTAAGCGAGTGACACAAATTGATTTGTGTCTGCTTCCTTGAATAATGATTTTTTTATAGTAAGTAACTGATTATTCAAACTAACTGTGCATATCTTCATTAAATAGGAATAATTATTTTACAAAAATAGAATGAATTAATTTTAAGACAATTAGAGTATAGTATAGGAATATAATATAGGAAAAATATTAATGCGTTTATTCAATTGTCGCGGACCGTATGTCAGAGTTAAGTAAGAAAACTCTTGAAAAGACTGTTCGAAGTAATGAAATCACTCATTTTAAATGTTTAATTTTGTATCTATTCCTTATTGGTTGTTCGACACATTTTTCCGCCTTGTATAGGGTAATCCACCGAACGTACACGCCCTGATTAACTCCTAAAGATGTATGTATTGTATGAAAAAATCTTTTTATACAAAAATTACATGATTTGAAGAGGCACATTATGCAGTCCATTTGTTTCCTTTATAGGTAGAAGCGTTTTAGATATTTTAAAGTCAAGTCACCTTTATTAGCTCCAAACCAAATTGTTAACGAATAGTTTCACTTCATTTCTCAACAATTTATTTATTCTTAGCGTAATATTGACAATATCTCAAACGTCTGTCGCGTTCGTAACTTTATACGGAAGTTACTGTCGGGTGTTCGGGCGCAATTATCAGCAAAGCTATGCTGGGTACAACATTTTCTATATTTTCTCGGTCGACTCGACCCTTGATGACTTCTCAGGCCATAAAACAGGTTACACCAAGAATGTTCGGGTCCGCGACCCGAACGGCTGACCGTGCGGCAATCAACTGTAGATTGGGGATAATAAACTGTTTCACTGCAGTTTGCACTCACTTAATGGAGAAATTTATTATTTTATTAGGTTATAGCACCATTGTCCTACGGAAATCTGCAAAGTTATAACATTTTAAACTTTAGTTTAAACTAGCTAAAGTTAAACTAGTTAAATAACTTTTGAGAAAGTAAAACTTATTCGCTAACTGTTAGGTTTTAGAGCTAATGAAGGTTAATACTATTTTTATTTAGACTCCATGTTCTTTAATACATCGACATAAAAAATATAACGTTACACTTAAAATAACCAAGTAGACCTTGAAATTTCAAAAACGCCTCCACTCACAGAAGAAACGTATGTGTTGCATAACATATTCCTTCAAATCATAAAACTTTTGCATAAAAATATTTTGTATACAATACATACTTTGAGGACAAAATTACTTTTTTCTGGGTTAGGTCTTCTGAAATTCTTCTGAAAATTTGAGCTTTAGAGATTTACTAACTGCCATTTCTAGAAAAGAGATCCTTTTACGTTAGACAATAATAATATGTACATAAAGTACAACGCCGGTTGAATTTTTTATTTTAGTTTATTTGAACGGTAGAAATCATGTCATTCAGTGGTCAAGATTTGTTTCACGACGGCACGGGCGGCAACGGGTCGCATAATTTACAATTTTTAGGAAAATATTTTTGTAAAAATTTGTACATCATGCTAAAATAGTAATGGAAGCGTATGTAAAATTTCAATTCAAAATCTTGCATACTTTTATAAATAGAGACTGGTAAAGAAAAAGCTTTTTAAAGCCAGAAAAAAGTAATTCTCCCCTTAAGGGGTGAAAAGTCACCTTAAATGCGTAAAAATTATAATTATGTTCCACAATTATTTTTTTTTCGAAAACAGTTGATTTGAAGAAGATCTTTTTGTTGGGATTTATTATACATATATTGAATAACAAAAAAATCATTTTTATTTAGATTTTTCAAATGAAAAGGCGATGCTGGAACTATTACGTGACAATTCTTCTTCTAAGAACTCGCTAATCAGCGAAGCACTTTCTTGCCGAGTTACATAAAAAAATAGGAATTTTGCAATAACAATATTTATAAACAAGAAACAAATTCAAAAATGTTTGCAAATGTAATCATCGCGAAAACTTGTGAAATGAAAATACTTAGTTTTTTGTTTCAGGTTTAACCTTACCTGAGAACACTGTTGCGCTGATTAAAAATCATTCTTGTTGTGTAATGTTTCCAGTATCGCTATTTTATTTAACAAATCTAAATAAAAATTATTTTTATATTACTCGGTGTATGTATAATAAACCTCAGCAAACAGATCTTACGTAAGACAATTGTTTTAGAATAAAAAAATTGTTGAATTTAGCTATGATTTTCACGTGTCTAAACGCGAGGCTTCCCCATAGAGATAATATACATACATGTATATTGATATACATGTACATCTATACATATGTAGATAGAACAGGAAAGGCAGGCCTACCTGTAAGTGGAAATGAAAAGAGAAAAAGACCGCGGTACCCTATCCATCTCTATGCTTTTATTTTTATGATGTAAAATATACATGTAATTAGTAAAAACATAGACGACAACCATTTATCGTTAACAGAAAATTGCGCTGGTAGACATAGACAGGTAGGGAACTGCGGCATATTTCTCTTTTTAGCTGGAGGTCTGGTTCCCTACTCTGTCTATAATATCTCTATGGGCTCTCCTCCTTAAAAGTTAATTAATGTGTGCATGTTGCGCGGACCAATTGTCATATTTACCGTGATTACAATTAACTATTAACTGATTGAGTGGCCCATCGCTAAGAGGTAACCATAATTGCATTTTCAGTTATTCGATTCCTCGACAAAGATTAATCGAATTGTACGGAATCGTAGTCTCGAGTCTATCGAACGGTTTCCCGAGTTCGATTTCCGTCGAAATTGGTTCAGTCACGCGCGAAACATGCATACGTACCTTCTGTCCGTGGAATTGATGATTTCCGGGTACGGATCGTCGGACTGCGTGGCCATTGCTCCCTATCGAATCAAAAGGAAACGTCGTTAGAAAAGTCTCGGGTTAATCGTTCGAATACGACTATCCGATCTCGCGTCTCTCGACCGATATGGAAAACGGAAATGCAAGAACGCTCGGTGACCAGGTAGTTCGTTGACGCACACGCGACTATGACGGAAACGATGATAATACGATGCGGTTTCAGGCGTTACAAAATCGCGAGTGTACAGCGGTCCTTTTCAACTAAATAAGTTCGGAGTTTTCAACAAGTTATTATTTGTTTGACGTTGAGACTTACATCTCAGAGTCATCTTTGAAACCCATGTTACAATTCAATTTACTACATTAACATGTCGTATTCGTTCGATGACGGCAGAGATGGACAAATTATATTTCGAGTAACGAATAACTCCCTAAGATTTACTTAAGAGTAACGAAGATGGATCCTATAATAATCTTTAGAGTTATCCGAACTGGATTTATTCGATAAAGGATTCACTCTCTATTCGAACTGTTTCAATGATAAATAAATTATCAAAGTCCCCAGTTATTCTCGAATAAATTAATTTTATTCGTAACTCTCATTTGAATATTATTCGAAGCTCGAATTCGAATATCGAATTTATTCGATATCATTGTCGTATAGTAATTTATTCAAATAACGTCCAAATGCGAGTGATGGGCATTGTACATGCTTCTTTCATTGATTGGTTATTTCAAAATTATTATTCAGATGAAAACTTTGCTCATCTCTGTCTAGAGAAACGCGTCTCTTATTTTGGGAAACATTGGTATACGGAATGGTAAGTGAAAGTGCAATGTGTGTGAAGCTGGTAGCTCACTTTGTATATAGGAGTTCATAAATACAGTATAGTCTTCTGTATCCGTACCCCCATTATCCGAATCTCTTAATGTACGGATGTTCTATTATCTATATGTTTTGTTATCCACACAACCTGCCTTCTTATATAGAAGCATTTGAGTCATTTGAAAATGGTCTTCTATGATTTGAGGCAGTGTTGGACAAGTACATACGGATTTTACGATCAGTTGAGAGCATTTCTTGCTATAGATATTGTTTACTGTAAATTTTGTATTTAAAACGTGATTTGTTTTCAAATGTTCACCATTCTTATAAAACTGATATTTTGAAAAATTCCTATGTACTGCTACAGTATACAGGGTGTGTCAGTTAACATATGCACCTCAAATATCTTTGTTGTTGTTAAAGATACATCAAATATCATAAGGACAACGTTGAATGGTTCAATGGGTCAAAATTCAATTGATGCCAAAAATATTATTGTTTTTATTATTTTTTTTTAAGGTGTCAGGGTCAACTTCATTTTTTCAAATGGAACCACCCTTTTTCGAACACCTACAATGATAGTACCTTTTATTTTACGTACTTTCATAATTACGATCACGATTATAATCAAATGTTTCAGAGTTGTGACTACGATCCTATTTTCAGGTGTTTTCTGACATAGAAATTTTGTACCTCAAAACCGTCTTCAGGTTCGTGTTCCTCGCCCCCCAAAAAACTTAGAAAACCATGCTGTTGTCAAAATCAAAAGTTAAAAATTTTCAGTTAACATATTTCATGGCATAGGGTAGATAGGATAACTTTTTACAATTTTTTATTTCGACGAAAGCATGGTTTTCTAAATTTTTTGGGGCGTGGAACACGAATCTGAAGTCAGTTTTCAGGTACAAAATTTCGATGGTTAAAAATCCCTGAAAATACGATCGTAATCGCAGAAAAATTTGCGATTACAATCGTAATCATAATTCTGAAACATTTGATTACAATCGTAATCGTAATTATGATCATGATTATGCCCAACACTGGTTTGAGGCACAACGGGAATGTAATGCTACGTTACTTACAATACAAAATTGATGTGACTTGGCGATTAAAACGTAATGGAACGGTTAGATATATGTTGAAAAAAACTTAATTTTGTTCATTTCTACTTGAATAAATGATATTTAATACGAAAGAAAGTAATTATTCTATTATCCGAAAATTCCATTATCCGGCCACTTTTGTCTCTCTATTAGTTCGGATACGGGACTCTCTACTGTAAGTAAAAGTTGACTTCATTTCCAGTAGTTCTATAATTCCCGATCAATCAAACTAATAGTTCTATCAATTAGAACTATTGGTAATTTATTAAACAATTTTAGGTGCCCGAATCGAAAGTAATTACAGGATGATCTGTTGTTCGATTGGGACGAAATTAACAGTTAAAAAAAATTATTCAAAAGTTCTTATTGATACAATTCTTCAGAACTATCAAAAAAAAAAAAAATTCATATTCGGTGGATTAACAGCAAATAGTTAGCAAAAGAGTGTGCTGCAAGAATGGAATTGATATACGCTAGCTTATTATTACGCTAGCATAGCCATTGTTTCTTAAAAACGGCTGGAGCAAAACAATTAATTCTTTGGCAAATAATTAGCAAATAAATAGCAAAAAAATATCGCGTTAATTTGGCATTGGCCTTTTGAAATGGCTACGCCAGCTTAATATATTGGGCTGTCTGGAAAGTCCATGCCGATTTGTAGTAGGCGGTACAGGTCTGAATATATCGGAATGGCTGAAAACAAATACAATCTGTACATTCCTTAAGGCCCCATACCACAGTGCACGCGCGGTAAGTGGGTGTATTTTTAATAATTTTTTCCGAGCAAACGATGAATGGTTTTTTTTTCATTGATACTTCTATCCAATATATACATAAATAAGACACTACACAAATTTTCTTATTCAAATATTACGAATAGTTTGCGGTGCACGCCGCACGGTGGGACGAAACGGCTTTCGGCGATCAAAAATCGATTTTCGTGAATTCGAAAAATGGAAAAACTGTTTACGTACATCGATAGAGGATAAATTGCTGTTTAATGTATTGCAATCCGTTTTTTGATATTTGCTTCCGTTTTGCTGTGGTGCGCATTCAAAGGCAGTTGAAATTCGTCCAAGAAAAACGCTTACGATATTACTCCTAACTTCTATATACGATTCTAAAAAACTTTGCTCAGAAAGACGATATTCAAATGAATTATAATGTTTACTAGATTTGTATAGATAGTATTCAATACATAAAGTAAATCAAAATGTTAACAACTTTTTAAATAATTGGGTCTGCATGGAGAGAAGTACATTTAAATAAAATTGTAACTTTACGCATGGTTATAAAAAATTGCCCGCACTTGTCCGAGGTTTAATTGCTATCACAGGAAAGAGTGAACCATTCTCTATCAAATTCTGCAAAGATCAGGTGCTCCTAGGTGCTCCATTTCGAGAAAATGGCGATTAAATTGGACTAAACACATGTTGGCCACAGCGCTTGATAATCGAAAAGCGGTACTAGATGCGATGGTTTGCCTGTCATATAGACTTTTTAATGGATTTAGCGAGAAGATAAACATGTATACGAACTCCTCATGATGACAAACTAAGTTGCAATGTAGAACATTTTTAAATAATGGGGCTCGAGTTTAAAATAATATATACGTTTCACGGAACTCTTAACTTTACGCATGGTTGTAAAAAATTGGCCGCAGTTGTCCAAGGTTTCATTGCTATCACTGGAAAGGGTGAACCATCCTCTATCAGATTCTGCAAAGATCGGGTGCTTCTTCGTGCCCCTTTTTGAAAAATTGGTGATTGTACTTAGTGGGACTCGTGCGGAAAATGGTATGTACGTTTGTACGCTTATTTCTATGATTATTACGTACATCTTGTCATTTTTAAATTACTAAATACATTTCTCTCATAGTTAATAACAGGTTTGAGTCGAATTTTGGTTAAATAACATTAAGTATGTCAAGCAAGTGAAAGATATTGAACGCGTTACACTTTATACGTGAATATTTGGACACTCTGTAGCTCTAATTGATTTATGCTCATATAACTTAAGTATCATAGTATAGGGAATAAGTTCCTAAAATTTCATTAAAATATTTTCAAGAGAACCAAAGTTACGGATTTTTGATCGCCGAGAGCCTTTTCGTCCCACTGTGAGCCGCTATCAAAAGGACACTCTGCCGAAATTGTTGCTTGGTGGTTGACAGCGATTAAGCCATGCGGTTCATCTGAAGAAAAAATATATATATATATATATTTATAAACTAGACATATAGAAAAAAAAATGACGAACCACCGAATTTTATTTCCCATTTTCACAGACAATTTTCATTCTTTATGAATAAAAATAAAATAGAAGGGGACCCTTTATAAAGAAATTCGTACGTAGTGCTGTAAACCTATATGTCTAGTTTATAAATATATATATTTTTTTTTCTTCAGATGAACCGTATAGCTTAATCGCTGTCAACCACCAAGCAGCAACTTCATCAGAGTGTAGCGGTGTACACCGCAAACTATTCGTAATATTTGGATAAGAAAATTTGTGAAGTGTCTTATTTATGTATATATTGGATACAAGTATCAATGAAAACAAAAACATTCATCGTTTGCTCGAAAAAAATGATTAAAAATGCACCCACTTACCGCGCGCGCACTGTGGTATGGAGCCTTAACAGGTGGAAAGGTTGTGGAACACAATGGTACAGATATAATTCAATAAATCTACATAAAGATAGGCATGAACTTTCCGGACAATCCAATATGTTCTTTAGCATGTTCAAAACTATCCAAGAACTATCCTCTTTTAGTTTCATCAGAACTCGCCCCGATCGAACAGCAGATCACCCCTATACGTGTACATAGCACAGATTCTCGCACTTAAAATCGTTTAAAAAATGATCCAATAGTTCTAATCGATAGAACTATCGAAAATGAAGTCAGAACTCTTAATTATTTATGAGCTTGTACAAAATGAGCCACCAGCTTCACACAGACGAACGCTATTGTTTCCCGATCGAATCGACGATACAAAGAGCTGCGGTGCTTCTTTGTCTCCCGCTTCCTTCTTCTCCCTCCCTATGATCCGTTTGCCGGGATTACAGGCCAAGTAATTTTACTAAGCGGCACCGAACGAGATTGACCTCGCCGGTCTCACGGTGGGTCATCTAACCCCGTCGACGCGTTTTACGTATCCGTCGTTGAATTTATTCCCAGTTTCAGCTTCGCGGTCGTTTATCGTTCGATTCCCACCGCACGCGATCGATATCTGAACGGGATTAAGTTTGATCGAATGCAAAACACGCCATTCACCAAGTCGTAATTAATGCTCAACGTGTTTCGTCATTTTGCTTCAAGAACGGAATTTTACCCGCGTACACGCGTCACGGGTTTTCTCCCTTTTCTTCTGTTATTGGCGGCCGAAGGTCGTCGAAGGAAAAGAACTTCTAACTTAGCGGAAGTTGTGTACCGATCGGTGTGTTTTTTATCTTTTGTTCGATCTATGGTGTTGCAACTGTGTATCGAACGGTCGCGAAACGGCACATTCCGTTGTATGAATTATGAGCTCGAATTGAATTTAGTAATAGTGGATAGATTCCCGGTAGGTAACGTGTCATTAGAAAACGATTTGATGGTCGAAACTGTTTTGATTTAAATCACCACGTGCAGAGAGCAAAGCGGAATCGAATTTGTTAGTTTTTAACGCACAGCAAGGGATTGGAGAATTTATTTGCATTTATTGTTCACTGTATTAGTGATTAGTCAAATCTATCGACGCCGACGACTTTATTTTTCATTCTCGATGGCTTGGTAGGTTAATAGATTCGAACAACAAATGATTAGAGAGAGAGAAAAATAATATACAGAATGTTTGTTTAAATGGGAACGGTTGAATATTTCGTGAGGGGATGAAGCTATACAAACAATTATTTTATATAAAGGGGCAAATTATGGTGTAGATAAATGTTATTGCATTGTGGATAAAAATATATAAAGTTCCACTTAAAAAGATTAATTGTTTTGTTATATCTCTGAAACAATTTCACTTATAATTAGACTGTGGATCTTTACGCAAGATAAAATCTTAGCATACGTGCCTACAAAAAACTGAACCTAAATAGGAATTTATTTTACTTTGCAAATATTATAATATGAACTTTACTTTTAATATTTTTTTCATATTATTGGATACCGTGTGTATTTTCCCATTTCTTGCGCATTCAAATTTCTTATAAATGCATAAAAATTGCCTGGCTATTTATCATACAATTTGCCCCTTTGGACTAAATTACTTTGGTTAAAACATTTTTGTGATGATTTCATCCCCTAATAATATATTGAACTATTTCAATTTAAACGAGAAACCCTGTATAGTTACTAACGTGGTTTTATGTATTTATAATGTATATCGCTATGGAGAACGAAAGGGATACAAAACATATTTTATAGATTGGTAAAATTATAATATCTTTTCTTCAGTTCGACGAATACATAGAAAGAGTTTTAATTTTTGTTCTGCAATCCACAGCAAATAATTATAGAAATTTATCTGTAAATGCACTGTCTGGTACAATTATTATTGTTCTTTAAATGAAAACAAAAAAGCGAATATTCTGGGAAGGCAACTTTTTCGCGGAATATTATTATATTTACTCTTAGATATGAGGAAAGAAGGAAAAGTTGTCTTCTTCAAATATTTCCTTAATCGAATTCTATTGACCAAGGCTATTAACATCTAACTGTACATAAAAAAAATGTAAATATTGTCATCTAACGGGTATTATTCCGTTCGTATTAATAGTAACGCCTCATTTTGCATAAATGCATATTTTTTGCATACATTTAGCATATGTTTTTCAGATTCGTACGCGCCAGTGCATAAAGCCAATTAATTACAACTGTTAGTATTAATGTGCACGTATATACTGTAATATCATTTCTATTAAATTCGATCTTTCGTTGTGTGTAATGTTGTAAATCATGCGCTCGGTACCAAACAGGATTTCCTTCTCCGTAATTAGAAGCAATGCTAATTAGAAAAAAACGCGTTATCAATCAGACTTTTTATTTACGAACATTCAAGTTGGCGTTTGTTTCGCAGACTTCAATGCATGTACGCTCGCATACTTGCATAGTGAAACCGTGTACGATATATCGGTGTAAACGTTATAAAAGCGAGCAATTGAGGATATACGTTATGGCATTTTGCTCGTTATAGTCGTAATTTTGTTATTTAATGTACTTCACGATACGCTTGATATTAAATACACTGTATCTCTCTATAATATTCTAAACTATGGAAATAATACCGAGCGTAGTTCATTTTTCCATATTTAGTAGCAATATTAATTAACACTTTGTAGACCGCACACTTTTCATAAACTTGACACGATAACGTGGCTTAACTTACACTTTTATAACTCTTATAAGACGAGGATTAATACCGTAGTATTTTCGTCAAATTTTACAATTTTTCTTTCATTAAATTTGACATAACCGTTAGATCTGGGTGGTTATGCAAATATTTAACGATCGGACAATTGATGGGACAATTGATCGGACAATTTTGAGTGTAATTTTAATCCGTATAAGATTAGAGACAAAAGGGATTTCAAGTATGCACCTCTTTTCAACATTAACTCTTATCTACCGACTGTCAATATTATCTTTGATTTTAGATTGAATGCAGTTTGTATCACATGGTTATTGTGTATGTTTCCAACCGCACAATACAGCGAGCGTAAACAGGAAGATATACCTAATCGGTTGGCAATGCGTTGAAAGTAAACAAGATTTTGATCAATATTTTCACTTACGAATCTTTAAAGTGGCATTTGTTTCAAAGATTTCAATGCATGCGTGTTGACATAGTTAGCAAACCGTGTCACGACACATCCTTGTAAAACGCTCGTTGTAAAGGAGAGTGAGTTGTAGGGGAACACACGCAAATCAGAATGATTATGGCGGTTTGCCCGTTGCAATCGTGGTCTCGTTTAGGCTCGCCACAAACAAGTTTGTTTGTGTTCAAAAACTCTTTGAATTTTAGTGATAAGGAAAGACTTGAAACAACGATGCTTCAACTTGCCTTCGCGTCTCTTAGGAGAAACGGGCAGAGATGGACTAAATTAAATAAATATTCATCCGATACTCGTTAAATAAATATTCAAATTTAAATGAACAACTAACGCAGCGTCGATTTCGATTAATTTTCATGTAGTCAATTTTAAACTGTCATCTTTTTTTAAACCTGAATTGTTTGATTTTTCGCTGTTATAAAAATGGGGATTTTTAAGCAAGAATTGCAAACATTTATTAATCAAGTTTTTTTAACTAATATAATTTTTAATTCAGCAGCTCATTTGGTCGCTGGATCAACAGTTGTTATTTATTGGGAAAAGTTAGCACTATTCTTCGAACAGCTGAATCAACAGAATTGGTGCTAAAGGTTACAATATATATTGAAATTTGAGCAACAATTTTAAAGTGGCCTCTTTTTTTAAACCTGACATGCAGAGAGCAAATTTTTTGATTTTTCGCTGTTATAAAAATGGGGATTTCTGAGCAAGAATTGCAAACTGATACAATTGTTAATTCAGCAACTTATTTGGTCGCTAGATCAACAGTTGTTATTTATTGAGAAAAGTTAGCACTATTCTTTGAACAGCTGAATCAACAGAATTGGCGCTGAAAATTACAATATATTCAAATTCGAGCAACAATCTAGAATGGTACTAGAAAAGTGTTCCATTTCGCGTAGAATGACTCTACCAAACAATCATTGAGTAGATGTTTACGGTTGTCGACTTTGAATCATTAGTTGAAGGCACACACTATAGCATTGACATTGCTTCCTTAAAATAGGAAAATGTTTATTCTCGATACCTCGAATAATCCTTCAATATTTGGTGGAAAGGGATCAAGTAAAAATTACGTCTTTCTCGAGAGCAGTAACTGAACATTTTTAGAAAAAGATCAAACAAATTCCGTGATTTATGTATAAAAATTAAGTATGCGCCGAAGTATGAAATTTACAAACCGAACTGGAGCCCTCGTTACAAACGTTTATGTTTCCTTAACTCGCATGGTAGCCGTAGTCGTGGGTCATATCTTGGAATCGCACAAATTTCGAGTCAATTCCTTTCCGCCAGCGAGTCTATACGTACGTTGGTTTTATTCGTTATGTATTACACGGGTCAGATATCGCCCATCTCTGGAGCCACAGGACCGAGGAACATTCGTAAAAATCACGATCGCCGCACCATTCACCGACACGATCAGAATGTCGATAGTAACCGATCGATCGGATATCACCTGGCCGATTAATAAACGCGTACGTTCGAAAATGCATACGTTCCCCAGTCGGCGGTGAATTCGGTTACCGTTGATCGAACGGGAAATTGTCCGGTGTCGTTTTCCGCGCGTACCCGTGTTCACTGTCCTGTTGCGAGTGGATCTGATCCACTGGATCACAGGAGACGGTATACACGAGCGAGTTCTCTGTCAAAAAAGTGGTTCCACTTTCGGTAGTTGCACGCACGCTGCACCACCACGGTCCGTTCTGTTCAAAGGCACGCAGAGAGTCGGACCTCTTGCGATTAAGCTATCACCCCTCTCCATCTATTTCCCTCTCTCTCTCCTCTTGTCGTTCCTGCCTTTTCTTCTTCTTCATCTTCTTCTCCTTCTTCTTCTTCTTCTTTCCTTGTTTTTTGTCTACCCCTACCTCGAGGTTCGTCTCTTGTCTACTTGGTTCGTTCTCCAACGACTGGTAAGTGAACCCAATGGAGCACCGGCTCCGCGATGCAAACGTCGTTGTCCGTCCCGCGACCTTGATGCCTCGACGATCCTCTATACCGGGCATAGTCCAGGGCATGAACTATTATATGTATATTAATTACCGAGTCGAATACTTCACCTACCGAGCGCAGGAATCGAACGCCAGGGGAAACATCCGCGAGATCGATCGATTCGTTCGATCCACCGCGCGATGCGCCGGATCCCGAAAAACCTGGCCTCTTGGAATATTTGCTGTTGAATTACACTGTCCAACACGATTTTTTTTCCGCGATATCCACTAGGTGATTCTTATAGGGTTTCTCGTCCTAAATACGAATCTGAAAGTGAAATTGCTCCATCACCCTTAGTTTTCGAGAAATACGAGATTTTGTAAATACAGTCAATTATGAGAGAAAACGTAGTACTACTTGAAAACTACGAACACTAGAAAGTTCTATTTACTTTTAAAAGATAGAAGAGTGTTTTCTGAATATGAACACATACATATTCCTTTAGAATTATCTGCTCCTTTGAATGCCTATAAATGAACACCGAATTTTAAAAAAGGTGATGATGCGTGAATTTTTCACGCAATACTTTTGTATTTTAATGAAGAGTTATCCACCTAGGTCGATTGTACACTACGTTATCGGATTCTGCAAATATTTCTGAAGAAAAAACCACCCGCGGCAAATGTTGGAACGGTTTCTAGTCCATACGGTTTCACAAAACGTCAACTCGGAACGCATGAACGGTGTTTTGCCGCTGCACAGCCATTGCTCGCTATGTTTCGGTCAGTCAGGGCCGTCGCTACGGGATTCGCCTAATCGGTGCCACGCGCTATCGGTTTTTGTATTACATTTACATGTTCCAGATAAGTAATTCTTCATTTTTAATATCTCATTCATACTGCAACTCAACAAAAGAGAGATAATTGTCCACTGTTTAAATTTTAATCATTAATTTCCCGTTTTTATATCTTCAATTATTCGATTTTTGCTAATTTCGTATTGAGCAAACTTTATTTAAATCTAAATTAAATTATTTAACAATTAATTCAATCTATAATTGTATATTTTGTTGTTAATTTTTAATGAAAACTGCTACCTATAAAAAATCTCTCTTTAGAGCAGAGTTTACCCCCCAAACACTAACTTAAATAACAAAAGATTAAAGTATCTAAAAGGAGAAACATTAAGCTTTAAAATGGTTTTCTATTCGTCAATGTGGTGCGAATTTTAACGAAGTTACGAGAATTTGATGGTTATTATTCAAGCACGTGGCGACGATTGCGCAGAACGCATGACGACGGCCCTGATTAACCGATATAAAGCGACCGAAGCCTGCGCGCCGGCAAACAGAATTCGTGCGTTCTAAATTAATATTTTCTAGATCTGTACGATCTAGAAAACGTTCCAACATTTGCCGCGGGTGGTTTTCTCTTTAGAAATGTTTGCAGAATCCTATAATGCATAGTAAATTCGACCTAGACGAATAACTTTTCATTAAAATACAAAAGTATTTCGTGAAAAGTACTCGTGTCGCCAACGGCCTTGTGTTTTGAACTTCGGTGTTCATTTACAGGCATTCAAAGGAGCAGATATTTCTAAAGGAATATGTCTTTATATTTAGAAAACACTCCTCTATCTTTTAAAAGTAAATAGAACTTTCTAGTGTTCGTAGTTTTCAAGTAGTACTACGTTTTCTCTCATAATTGACTGTATTTACAAAATCTCGTATTTCTCGAAAACTAAGGGTGATGGAGCAATTTCACTTTCAGATTCGTATTTAGGACGAGAAACCCTATAAGAATCACCTAGTGGATATCGCGGAATTTAAAAAAAGTTTAAATTTGTTGGACAGTGTTATATACAGTGAGTAACTTTAATATTCGAACACTATGAGATTTTTACATTATCACATCATAACTTCGTTTCTAACAAAACAAGCAAAAAACATAATCAAGTATTATATTAACGTATATGTTTAGTAAACAGTAGTATAAGTTGTATTTACATACTTTCTGTAATTGTTAAATAACACGATTTAAACAAAACATTGTCTGATTTTGCGCGTTACTTTAATATTCGGACACTTTTAGAAACTATTTATTTTGAGGCTAATCTTTATAATAATATGTGTTTTAATATCTTGTTGAGTAGCCATTCTGTTGTATCACTTCTTTTAAACGTTGTGGCATATTGCTAATGATTTTTTTTTAAATATTCAATAGTTATTTTGTCCAATTCTTCTTTTAACCGATGTTTCAACATTTCTTCTGAAGATATTGTTGTTGTCCTGATAGGTCGCTCTAGTTCATTCCACACATTTTGATAGGATTGAGGTCAGGTGATTGAGGTAGTGGTTGTAAAAATTTTGGACAATTGTACAGTAAATATTCTTGCACGATGGGTGCCTTATGTTTCGGGTCATTGTCCTGGTAAAACTTAAATGTGTTTAAAATTCCCATTTGTGTAGCACATTTGTGTAAATTATTTTTTAATATGTTCAAATATACATTTTTGTCCATAATATTGTCAATATAAACTAATTCGGCCAGCCCAAATGTAGATATACAGCCCCAGACACACACACTGCCTCCTCCATGCTTTACAGATGGCCTTAGATTTTTAAATTTAAATTCTTCATTTTTCTTACGCCACCTTCCATCTGATCCAAAAATGTTAAATTTACTTTCGTCGGTAAAAATGACATCGTTCCACCATGTTTCTTCCTTCAAAACAAATTCTTTAGCAGAATTTAATCTCTTCTTTCGATTCTGTTCATTCACATATGGTTTCTTCCTAGCTACTCTTCCATTGCAACCACTATCTTTTAAGACTCTGCGAATTGTTTGAGGATGTACCTTCTTCCCAGTCTCGTTTAAGAGCTCTGTTGCTGATTTTGCTGCACTGAGTGAAGGATCCTTCTTTATTTTTCTTATTAGTTTCCTCTTATCACGTGCATCCAACTTCTTCGGTTGGCCCTTTTGGAGTATAGACTCTATAGAATCCTCGTATTTAAACCGTTTGATGATATTTGCCACTGTACTCTTATGTTTTTTATTTGTTTTATTAAAAACGAAGTTATGATGTAGCAAAGTAAAAATTTCATAGTGTCCGAATATTAAAGTTACTCACTTTACATATACATACAATTGCGTTAAGCAAAAATGAATTTACCGTTGAGAGACACTGCCCTTTCTGTCTTAAACTTTAACAGTTAAAGTATCGGACTGGCAGCACCAGGTCTGACGACTCTTGCCTGTTTGTCGTCGAAGGCCAGGGCAATAAACAGAGCGCAGGCAGAATTTCCTTTTCTTTAAGTAGACGTTAGAATTTCACTTTCGCGTAGACCTGAGCTTTTAGTTAGACTAGATGGCCAACACGTCCTTTCAAGTCGTCAAATAAAGTAGACGTTTAAAATAAAAAAAGGACTGTTATTAATTCCACCCATTTCCAATATTTACTAAACGGCAACGTGTCATTTTACTACAAAAATAAATGTACTGAGAATAAATACACAACGTTATATCTGTCACCGCAGATTCTGATGGGCAAGACCCTAGGTTTCGAATAAATCTGAAGTTTGCCGATGTGTTTGTCACGTTTCCTCTTTTGAACATTTTCCAGAGAAAGAAACGAGACAAACACATCGGCAAACTCCAGATTTATTCGAAGCCTAGGGTTTGCCCATCTCTGTCGCAGAATAACGAAAGTGAAAGTTTTCGTTTAGGCTATGGCCTACCCTCTCAAGTACCTGAAAAGACACTTCTTGTAGTTTACTAAAGACTAAACAGATTTACTAAAACTACGCTGTATACAGCTAGAAATTCTTTCTACGGTTTTCTTTTATCGTTCATCGGTCAGTCTTGCGCGGCTCCTCGTTGAGAAAAGATCACAGTTTGCTCGACTCAATTTAGTGAATAAAGCTACAGTTAATCTATAAATTAAGTATTTTATTATTCACTTACAGTGGGTGTAGGATGTATTCCTACACCGATCAATTTCCCAAAAAACTTTTGCGTGAAATTGTACTTTCCTAACTTCTTTTTTTATAATTAATGATATTTTACATATTCTCGGAAGTCTCTGAGATATATATAGTCCAAACAACATGTACTAGTTGATATAATTTTTGTGAAATTAACAAAAAAATGTGAAAAGTGGGTAAAAGTATAGAAGCAATAAGCATTTGTACGATTCTTATGACGAGCCATTTACAGTAGAGTTAGTAACGCAAACACGTTAGTTTATTGCTCCGTACGAATTAGAAAACATCAAATTTCCAAGAAAGTACTTTTAGAAATGGCTCTAATAGAGGAATTGAAGAAGATCTCACTTCGAATAACTAATAATTTAGTTAATTTAATGCTTAGAAGAGTTACAATAATTATAAAATCAAAAGGATATCCCACGAAGGAAGTATTATATACTTGTAAATTAATGTAAATTTCCTTTGTTTTTAATGAAGTTTTAAAAATTAAACAGTTGTGCGAATACTTATTGCTACAATATTTCTATCGATGAATTGTTTTTTTTTTTTTTTTTTGTTAATTTCGCAACTTACATAAATAGCTATTTTTTTGTAATCTATCTATTCTAGAGATTTCCGAGAATATGTAGAATGTCATTGTTTATAAAAGATAAGTTAATAAATTACAATTTTACATAGTTTTTTTAGAAATTCATCGGTGTACGAATACTTTCTACACCCAAAGTATATCCCATTTCCAATATGGCCAAAAGTCGAAAAATCACTGTTTTTATTCCTGACTTCGTACCATACAATCTTGTATAGAAGGCATCCCTGCATACTGTAGCAAAAGGAAGTTACGTTATTTTATATTTGAAGTGCAGGGTTGCAGTAGGAAGCAGTACGCGGTACGCATCACGCTTGCTTTT